ACAGGATCGACCCAGGAGGGTCGACCTGCTCTGATACCATGTCAGAACTAGCAGTAGAAAGTGAGAATGAAGAAAGGAGGGCTTACACTAGCAAGAATGGGGATACAAATAGCAAACCCTAGAAGGGTTGTACTCGCTATAGAGCACCCCACTACAGGCTAGAGCATAATATTCTGACAGGCCTCACCAGTACCTAGAGCAGAAGACGTACTAGCACCGAGAGCAGCAGCCTCACCAGCACCTAGAGCAGGAGACGCACTAGCACCTAGAGCAGCAACCTCACCAGCACCGAGAGCAGCAGGCTCTATACCAGGGTCAGGCGGTACGCACAGGTAACAGGCACGGTCAGCACTAGTAGGCAATGCATACATGGCAGTGAGAATAGCATCATAGTCAAGCGCAAAGATATCTACCCTCTGTCCATGCAGCTCCAGCCAGGTGGGGAGCTCAGCCTCGTCGCCAAACACTGTGCGCCAGTCGTCGCTCAGACGGGCGAAGCAGCGGGACTGTGTGTGACCAAGCGTCCCACAAGGCTGACCAGTCCAGCACATGTGCGAATGACGTACGGGCAGCGAACTGTACGCGTAGACCTGCTACACTGAGCGTACCACTCATGGAGCTGCTGGAGCGTAAGTGTCTCGCGTGGACGCCGCTGCAGCTGCAGCTGGCCACTGCCAGACGCCCCCAACTGACCAGCTCCAGGGCGACAGCTACGACGGCTACCGCGACAACCCCAACTAGCGTACCACTCACTAAGCTGCTGGGGCGTGAGAGACTCGCGTGAACATCGCTGGAGCTGCATCTAGTCACCTCCTAGTAGCAGTAGTAGCCGCAGCAGCTCGGGCAGGGCAGGCGCGGCAGGCAGGCAGGCAGGCCGGCAGGCAGGCAGGCAGACAGGCCGGCAGGCAGGCAGGCAGACAGGCCGGCAGGCAGGCAGGCAGGTAGGCAGGCAGGCAGGCAGACAGGCAGGCAGACAGGCAGGCCGGCAGGCAGGCAGGCCGGCAGGCAGGCAGGCAGGCAGGCAGACAGGCAGGCAGGCAGGCAGGTGCTCACCAAAGGCTGGAAGGGCAGGCGTTCAACGGCTGCGACGGCGTCGACGGCGGGCTCGCAACAGCGGCTGCAGAGGCAGAGTGGGGCCGCGTCAGCGGCAGGTCGAGGCCTCGACAGCTGCAGGGCGGGGCCGCGGCAGCTGCAGGGCGGGGCCGCATCAGCGGCAGGTTGGGGCCGAGTCAGCTGCAGGTCGGGGCCGAGGCAGTTGCGGGGCCGGGCCGCGGCAGCAGCAGGTCAGGGCCGCTTCCGCGGCCAGGCGGGTCGGCGTGAGCGGGGCGCGGGGCTGTTGTGGGCCGCGCGAGGCAGTAATGGGCCGCGCGCGGCTCAGCGCGGGCTGCGCAGGCTCGGTGCGGGCTGCGCACGGCAGCAGCGGGCTGCGCGCGACTCGTCGCGGGCTGCGCGGGCTCGGTGCGGGCAGCGCGCGGCAGCAGCGGGCTGCGCGCGGCTCGGCGCGGGCTGCGCGGGCTCGGTGCGGGCAGCGCGCGGCAGCAGCGGGCTGAGCGCGGCTCGGTGCGGCAGCAGGGGGGGCCTGACAGGCCTGTAGGGGCCGTTCGCGGGCCTGACGGGCCTGCAGGGGCGGCGCGCGGGCCTTACGGGCCTGCAGGGGCAGCGCGCTGGCCTAGGGCAGCAGGAGGCAGCACTAGGGCTGCTGGACGGCGCACGTAGTGCAGCACGTCACAAGGCAAGGCAAGGCAGGCAGGTACGTGGGGTAGCGTGGTAACCGCAGCGGTAGGTGGGCCCGAAAAAAAAACGGTCCTACGGACCTTAGTGCTCTGAAACCATGTTAGAATCTAGTAGCAGGAATGATTGAACTAGCAGCATGCAGGAGTACAAGTAGTAAACCCTAATTGGGTTGTACCCCATATGGGCTACCCCACTACAGCCTAGACAATATGCAGCACATATAGTTTGACACCAACTCGTTCGTCGCTCGTTCATCTTGCGTCACGACGGATGAACCACAAGCTATCGTAAGCAAAGTGCTGGATGTGCCTCAGTTTCAGCTCTTTTGCCACAACCAATTCGCAATTCAAATTGCAAGTAAGTAGGGTTTCGCCAACCGAACTAAGCACATTTCACTTCTTTTCTCGTCAATAACAAGATCTAGCAAGAAAAGTTATTGTCACGACTGGAGTTTCGGTGTTGTACCGTATGCTCCTGGCCAGATCCAGCCACGTTACCAACATCGACAACACCAAGACTTGAAGGGGGGTGTTGAAGGTAAATAAAAGGAGTTAAGCAAACCAGTACCGTTTGATTGGTTTACTACACTATGTCAGAATATTATGCTCTAGCCTGCAGTGGGGTGCTCTATAGCGAGTACAACCCTTCTAGGGTTAGCTATTTGTACCACCATTGTTGCTAGTGCAAACCCTCCTTTCTTCATTCTTACTTTCTACAGCTAGTTCTGACATGCTATCAGAGCAGGTCGACCCTCCTGGGTCGATCCTGTGGGTGGGCCCGCCACCTAATGCTTCCGCTGCTGTCCTGCTTATCGCGCGCCTCGGGCGCGCGACGTTTTCTGCCTACTGCGCGCTCGCAAGGCGCGGCGTTTTTAGGGTTTCGGCGGTTTTCATCCCGCCGTGCGCTCGGGGCGTACGGCGGTTTTCTGCCCGCCGTGCGCCCCGAGGCGCGCGGCGGTTTCCCACCGTCGAAGTGCCCCCCGTCGCCCGTCGAAGCGCCCTCCCCCCGTCGCCCGTCGAAGCGCCCCCGTCGCCCGTCGGAGCGCCCCCCGTCGCCCGCCAAAACGCCCCTGTCGCCCGTACGGGCTGCGCCAGGCCCGCGCGCGGCCCGTACAGCCCGCGCGCGGCCCGTACGGGCTGCGCCAGGCCCGCGCGCGGCCCGTACGGGCTGCGCCAGGCCAGCGCGCGGCGCGGGCAGCCTGCGCGCGCCTCGTCCGTCCCCCTCTCGCCGTCCCCCGCGCTCCTGCCCCTATCCCACCCGTTTTAGGGTTTGGGGATGTGGAGTGTGGGGGTGGCGGGTGTGGGGGTGCCGGTTGTGTGCCCCGTCCCCTCCTTCTCCTCCTCCTCCGTCTCCCGCTGCTGCAGCTGCCGCTCAGGGGGGTGGTTGTGTGGGGAGCCGAAGGAGTGGTCCTAGGGGGGTGAAGGGGGAGTGGAGCTAGGGGCGCAGCAGGGGGTGTGTGTCGAGGGGTGTGGGACTGTTGGGGGAGGTTGAGCGGAGGTTGCCGTCGTGTCGTACGCAGCGCAAGTACTCCGGGGCACTCATTCCCGGTAGCTCAGAGAGCCGGTTGCGCCGTCGCCTGTGGGTCCGTTGCTCCTGCCGCGCATATTAGCCGCGGAGCCTGTTACTCCTGTACTCCGGGGCACTCATTCCCGGTAGCCACGTTGTCGCACTAGAGCCGTCTGTTGCCCGTGTGTCTGCATCTTCAGTCGTCGCCTCCTATCTACTCTCCTCTCACCAGCCCTCCTCCTCCTCACTTGCCCCCCGTGACTGCCTCTAGCTTTGCTCATAATTGTGAACCTTAAACTATTGCTTCTTGCTTGTGCTCAGAATGTGTGGTGACATCGTGATCCACCCTGAGCTTGTACTACTTTGCTTGCTCTGCTGATTACACCCCACTTTGACTATGGGGGTGTGTCAGAATATTATGCTCTAGCCTATAGTGGGGTGCTCTATAGCGAGTACAACCCTTCTAGGGTTAGCTATTTGTACCACCATTGTTGCTAGTGCAAACCCTCCTTTCTTCATTCTTACTTTCTACAGCTAGTTCTGACACACTATTAGCATAGCATTATCTTAGGTAAATGTTACTGTAGTATGTATCACTTCGCTAATGTAACAGACAGTAGCGCAAAATGTTTCGAAACTATTCGGGTTAACACAACAATAAATATATCGTTTGATGTCGAGTCGATAAAGTAGCCTGGTTAGTGAACAGGTTGTCAGAGGTCCACTGGTGATCCCCGATGATCCTAGGGAAGGGCTACAGGCACGTTGGCCTGGGGGGTTATGGGCGCACTCACCCGCTACACAAACAAGCCCTTTTATCCCAGTGGTTAGTGACTGGGATTCTGACATGGTATCAGAGCGAAGGTCTCGGGTTCGAATCCCGGTGTATGCACCTCGGGCATCCCAGTGCGGGGGGGTGTCAGAGGTCCACTGGTGATCCCCGATGATCCTAGGGAAGGGCTACAGGCACGTTGGCCTGGGGGGTTATGGGCGCACTCATCCGCTACACAAACAAGCCCTTTTATCTCAGTGGTTTGTGACTGAGATTCTGACACAGGTATTCTAGCATTCGCTGCATAAACTTCACAAGGACTAATTTCTAAAGTATCAGGGCTTAATCTCAACCCAACAAAATCCATATACCTGATGATTTCATGTAAACTGCGTGGGTAACTAAGCAGAATGAATGACATAGTCAAGGCTGGTGAAGAAGGAAAGTTGGAAAGATCGCCTTATACCATAAATACTGTTTTGAGACGTGGAGGCTAAGGTAAGTTTTTGTACCCTATAGGGTGAAATCATCGCAATGCTCTATGCGAAGAAGCAGAAGCGCGAACACGACAAAATAGGACATTTGGGCAAGCTCGGGCATGCAAATCATCTCGTGCCATTCCCACCCCACCCAAGTAGCCTCGAGATTCCCGCGCCGCGTAATCCCATCCTTTTAGTTCCAGAAGAATCCTTTGCGCGTACTTCCTGCCTTCCTGGCCATGTCCTCGCTTCTCTCGCTCCGCACCGTCTCCTCCACCACCGCGTACCCGTTCGTTCGCGCCTCGTTCCTCCGCAAACTGCCCCGCGCGTCATTCCCCGCGCCCCGTCCTTCCGCGTCCCTCCCCGCGAGTACCCCCCCGTTCCTTCCCGCGGGCACCGGCCTAATCTTCCGCCGATCTACCCGGCGCTCGGCAACCTCCGCGCAGTTCCCCGCCGGCAGAAGCTCCGCGTGGGGCACTCGCGAGCGCGTACTTGTCACGAGAGCCGGCATGGAGGCGGAGCGACCAAGCCACGGCGCGGGGGATGCGCGCGCGGAGGGGGATGCGCGCGCGGAGGAGGGCGAGCTGTCGTATTTGAATCAGGCGGAAGCCATCGCGGTAGACGAGGCGCTGTTCTCGAGCCTGGGGTTCAGCGTCGACCAACTCATGGTGCGCGCAGGTGATGGTGCGCGCACGCCCGCGCGCACGGTGAGCGAGATTCCTTTTGAGTCACTCAAAAGCCATCACGACCAGCTCATGGTGAGCACGCACCGCGCAGCAGGGCTCAGGGGCGGAGGGGCGGGGAGGGCGGAGGGGCGGAGGGGCGGAGGGGCGGAGGGGCGGAGGGGCGGGGAGGGCGGGGAGGGCGCGGAGGGCGCAGGGCGCAGGGCGATGCAGGGAGGGCGTGGATGCCTAAGAACCGGGAGTGAAGAAATAAAGGGGAGGAGAACGAGTAGAGGGGAAGGAGTGGGGAAGGTGGGATAAGAAGCATGCATCTATGATCGTTCTGATTCCGAAGTTTCTCGAATTGACTTCCCTGCCTTCCCACGTGCTCCTCGCCCGCTGTGACCCATTGCTATTGTGACCCGCTTATGAGGCGCCTCAAAGTGCCTCCAAGTTTCGAGGCGCCTCAGAACCCGCTTATTTGGCCTGTACCTGTCCCCCTTCCCCACGTTCCCCGCTGTGCCTTCCGTTCCCCTCCCTGCTGGTCCCCACTGTTCCCTCCCCCTGACAGGAACTGGCAGGGCTAAGCTGTGCATGCGCCATCTACCAGGTAACTAAAGCCACAGTCTAACGGTCTGGCAGGGGAGGAAGCACGCATGCATGCCTGCCTGTCGTCACAATAAGACGGTCATGCTGCTGCATATGCAGGGAGGCATGGGTCTAATGGGGTGCATGCACATGCAAATGCACTTACAATCATTCCCTCCATCCTAGTCGCAGGCACCCATGGGTGCATAACCTCATGCATGGCTAGTGCGTAGAGCATTCATACCCTATGATGACATGCACTGGAATGCTTACCTTCCTGCGACTGTTCTGGCCTCCCGTTTTCGCTCCTCTCCTCTTCCATTGCCCTCTCCCCCCCTCTCCACCACCTCACAATCCACCTACCTCTCCGCTGCCTCTTCTCTTTCGCTTGATGCAATCACCCCTGGCAACACTAACGCTCTAGCACTACCACTCCACACATGCCCCTGCCTTCAACGTACCCATACCTCCTTACTACCTCCACGTTTTTTTCCAAAATCCCTCTCTTCCCCTCACTCCCCCTTCCACCCTCACTCTCCTTCCTCCCCCACACCCACTCCCACCACGCTCAAGCACAGGAGTACCCCCCATCACGCTTCCCCTCAGTGCTGATCATATGTGGCCCGGGCAACAACGGGGGGGACGGGCTCGTGGCAGCACGGCACCTCTTCCACTTCGGCTACCGCCCTGCTGTGTGCTACCCCAAGCGGACGCCCAAGCCGCTCTACCAGGGGCTTGTTACGCAGGTGGGTGGGGCTGCACGGGACGTGTGGTAGGCTAGGCTGTCATTGCTCTGGGTTGCTGGGCGTTATTTGAGGCGCCTAGCATGTGTTTCTATGCCCATGCCCATGCCCATGCGTACCTGCTACATCCCCGCGCGCCCTGACCCATGACCCATGACCCATGACCCATGACCCATGACCCATGACCCATGACCCATGACCCATGACCCATGCTCCATGACACACATGGCTGTGGTTCACGTGTGCAGGTGGAGTCCCTGGGAGTGCCGTTCCTGTCGCCCGACCAGCTGCCGTCCCCCCTGCTGCCGTCCTTCCACCTCGTTGTGGATGCCATCTTCGGCTTCTCCTTCCAAGGTCGGTCCCATGCGCTCATTCATTCATGTATGCATGCCTTTTGTGGTGTCTCAAGAGCGCCCCCCCCCCCCCCCCTCCCCCTCCCCGGCCCTCCTTCCTTCCACATCGTTGTCGACCCCATTCGGCTTCTCCTTCCAAGGTCGCCCCCATATGCTCATGCACCGTTGCTTGTCATTGGGCGTGGCTGGCTGGCATGCCTGCCCCAAAACTGTCACCAATAATGTCAATTCAAAAGCCCGGTCGCTCAGCTCAACAATCGCATTCCAATCTCCCTACACCTCCTCTCTTCCCCCCTTTCCCCTCAGGCTCCCCCCGGCCTCCTTTTGACTCCATCCTGGCCAGTCTCATCGTGCCACCTGGCACCACAGCAGGGGCTGCAGGCATCCCCCCTATAGTGTCCATCGATATCCCCTCAGGGTGGGATGTGGAGCGGGGAGATGCTGCTGGGACGGGTTTGAAGCCAGATATGCTGGTAAGGCGAAAGCATGTGTGCTGGTATACGTGCCGATTTGATCCCTTGCAATATCTCCTTGCAATATCTCCTTGCAATATCTCCTTGCAATATCTCCTTGCAATATCTCCTTGCAATATCTCCTTGCAATATCTCCTTGCAATATCTCCTTGCAATATCTCCTTGCAATATCTCCTTGCAATATCTCCTTGCAATATCTCCTTGCAATATCTCCTTGCAATATCTCCTTGCAATATCTCCTTGCAATATCTCCTTGCAATATCTCCTTGCAATATCTCCTTGCAATATCTCCTTGCAATATCTCCTTGCAATATCTCCTTGCAATATCTCCTTGCAATATCTCCTTGCAATATCTCCTTGCAATATCTCCTTGCAATATCTCCTTGCAATATCTCCTTGCAATATCTCCTTGCAATATCTCCTTGCAATATCTCCCCTTCTTCCCTCTGGAGCCACAAATCTCCTTCAACGCTTCCCCCTTCTCCCACACCCCAACCCTTCCTCCCCACACACCCCATCCCACCCTCTCCCTCACAGATCTCCCTCACAGCCCCAAAGCGCTGTGCACTCTCCTTCGTTCCAGAGCCACATGCCTCTCTGCATACGCTCTACCCCTTCCCTCCCCCCCATCCGCAGATCTCCCTCACGGCTCCCAAGCTCTGTGCCCTCTCCTTCGCTCCAGAACCACATGCCTCTGTATATCTCCCCCTTTTTCCCACCCCCCACCTCTCAATCCTCAGATCTCCCTCACGGCTCCCAAGCGCTGTGCGCCCTCCTTTGCCGGCCGCCACCACTACCTGGGCGGCCGCTTCGCCCATGGCTGCTTCGCCCCTCCACTATGCATCCACAGATCTCTACAAACGCTCCCCCTCCCCCCCTCCGTTCCGCACCCCCACAGATCTCCCTCACGGCTCCCAAGCGCTGTGCGCTCGCCTTCGTCGGCCGCCACCACTACCTGGGCGGCCGCTTCGCCCCGCCCGCCATCCGCACGCGCTACAACCTGCGCCTGCCGCCCTTCCCCGCTGCGCAGCAGTGCGTGCGCCTGGCTGCACCCTCTGAGGCCACTGCCACACATGCTGATTCCCAGCCTGGTGACAGGGCAGGAGGGCCGGAGGCACAGGGAGGGGCTGGGGGGAGCAGGGGAGATGGGAATGGTGGTGGTGGTTCAGGTGGTAGTGGTGGTGGTGCTGCAGCGGCGGCGGCGGGGGTTGATGTGGCGTCGCTGCGCAGGGAGTACTCGGGGAGGGCTCTTCTGGAGAAGGACGTTCTGCCCGATCCTATTGATCAGGTGGGTTCTTTCTGAGATGGCTTTTGTGGTGGTAATGGTGCTGCTGGTGCTACAACGGCGGCTGGGGGGGTGGATGTGCTTCTGGAGAAGGACGTTCTGCCGGATCCCATTGACCAGGTGGTTTTTCTGACTGTTGTTGCGGAGAAACTGTGGAGAAACTGTGTTGAGAAGGTTGCCAGAAGAATTCGTTTTGAGCCGACGCAAAACACATGAGAAGTGTTGCGGATTGTTTGGAATTCTTGAACATTTTGGGAAAATCTCTTAGAATCGACGCACTTTTGATCATTCTCAAAAGTGACTCCCAGATGGGAAATTTCTCAGAATTGAGGCGACTCAAGATGCCATCCTTAGTGCGTCCCATGTTTTAGCTCCTATTTCTAGTGCGCTCTGGCACTGCTGCCTCCCCTGTTCCCCTCCATTCAGCCGCTGCAAGACAAGCACCTCCCTCCCTCTTGCCTTCACTCTTGCTCAACACCCGTCTCCCTACCCTGCACTGTTCTCTGCACCTTTCCTCCCCATCTTGTGTGCGTGCGTGCGTGCGTGCATGCGTATGTGCGTGCGGGCGTGCATGCGTGCGTGCGTGCATGCGTATGTGCGTGCGTGCGTGCGTGCGTGCGTGCGTGCATGCGAATGTGCGTGCGGGCGTGCATGCGTGCATGTGTGTGTCTGTGAATCAGTTTCAAGCATGGTTCAAGGAGGCACTAGCAGCCAGTGTGCCCGAGGTCAATGCCATGACCCTCTGCACCGTGGACGATGCTGGCACACCGTAAGCACAGGGCGGGCAGTGGGGGAAGAACGGGGGAAGGGTTGGAGAACGGGGGGGAGGGTGCAGAGGGATGCTGCTTTCTTGCATGCACACTTCCACGACCAGCCAGTGTGCCAGAGCCCAATGCCATGACGCTCTGTACTGTGGACAGCGACAACGCTGGCACACAATTACTGGAAAGCAGAGGGTGAAGGGAGAGAGGGTTAGGAGAGAGGGGAAGGGAGAGCGAGGGAGGGAGAGCGGGGAATGGACAGCGGGGAAGGGAGAGATGGGAAGGGAGAGAGGGGAGTGCATGAGGGATGCTGCTTGCTTCCATGCTCACTTCCATGAGCAACAAGTATGTGAGATCCCAATGCGTGTGTGTTTGCTATCAAGGGAACCCATTGCCATGAGCCTTCGCAGTTTGGACGAAGGGGGAAGCCTTAGGGAGGAGTTGGGGGGGAAGAGAGGGGTGGGGCGATGTTGGCAGGGGTTAAGAGTGGTGCATGTACAGTCACACGCGCTTGCATCTGCCTAGCATGTGCGTGCATGCAACTGACGCTGATGTGTGTGCACCATCAAATTTATAACTCTCTTCTTTCCTATCTCTCCCCACACCCAGTTATCTACCCTCTCATGCCCACCCTCTCCTCCCCACCTATTCTACATCTTCCCCCTGCACTCCCCTCTCCCCTGTCCCCCCCCACCGCTCCTTCCCCTCCACCCCCCTCTGCACCTCAATTCAGCGCACATTGTGCTGGCTTGGAGTGGACTCAAAATCACTCTCTCTCCTCCCCCACCACCCTCCTCTGCACCTCAGCTCAGCGCGCATTGTGCTGCTTAAAGGGGCGGACCCGGCCGGCTTTGTCTTCTTCACAAACTACAGAAGCCGCAAGGGGCAGGAGCTTCTGGGCCAGCCTGGCGTGCCGCCCCCTCAGGCCGCACTTGTCTTCTACTGGGAGTCACTGCACCGACAGGTGGGTGGGGGGCTGCTTGTGATATGTCTTCTAATGGGTGGAGCAGTTTCTATGGTTCCAGGAAACATGCAAAAAGCGAAATGCATGTCCTCAGGCCGCACTTGTCTTCTACTGGGAGTCGCTGCACCGACAGGTGGGTGGGGGCGGCTGCTTTTGGAATGTCTATTACAGCGACCTTTTTGTTGATTCTTTCCCACTTCATACCATCTCTAACAGCTCTCCCTCACCCTCTTCCACTCTTCCGCTCCTTTTCTCTCCCTTCTCACCACGAGAACTCCCTCCGCAGGTGCGAGTGGAGGGGGAGGTGGAGAAGATACCTGATGCTGAGTCCGATGCTTACTTTCACTCGCGGCCGCGGGGTAGTCAGATTGGCGCGCTTGCCAGTGAGCAGGTGCGTGAGACCTCTTGTGAGGCGCTTTAAAAGGTGCAGCCAGATCGGCGCGATTGCCAGTGAGCAGGTGCGTGAGACCTTGTGTGATGTGAAGCACCTGACAACAGGAGACTTCTTGTGCGGCGCCTCAAAAAGGGCAGCCAGATCGGCGCGCTTGCCAGTGAACAGGTGTGTCACTTTTGAGAATTCTCAAATTCAGGTGGGTTCGACCCACCATGCTCCGCTACAGTTTTCTTGACACAAGTGAAAGAGGAAGGGCTTTTTTCCCGGTGTGAGATGTTGTGGTGGCTTTTGAGTCGGCTCAAGAGTCAAAACGTGTGACGTGAGGCGACTTTTGAGCTTCTGTTTTCTGTTGTGACTTCTTGAGCTTCAGTAACCCCTGCACTGCCATTCACCTCCCTTCTGCCTTCCCCACCACAGAGTGCGGTGATTGCCAGCCGAGAAGAGCTGGAGGCAGCATATGCTGCACTGCAGAAACAGTATGGCGACAGGTGAGGCAGTGTGGCGACAGGTGAGGCCGTAGATTGAAGTTCTTCTGAACTTCCAGGCCCGGTGCGTTCAAGAGGTGAGGCAGCAGCAATATAGCGGGCAGGTTAGCATTGTCGATGAACCTATTTTTGAGTCGACTCAAAGGTAGCACTCCCCTTGTAATGGCCAAAGTGCGCACTGCACTCCGCATTGTTTTGAGGTGCGTCTGTACGCCCCCTGACCAGTGTCAGGTGAAGCGTCTGCTTGGTCAGCGGGTGCATGTGCCAAAACGTTTTTTCCCTGCCTAACGCGTCACTTTGAATGTGCTCCTCTGGTGCTGTTTTCATACTTCCTCACGTCAACACTTCTCCCTGTGCTCTTTCTCTTGGAGCATCCGTGAGAGGCCAGAAGGGGCACCACCTCCTAACCATTGGCGCGCCCGCGCTCCCCTCGTGTTCTCCCTTTCTCCTGTGCAGCTCACCCATCCCCCGGCCAGAGCACTGGGGTGGGTTCAGAGTGGTTCCGCGTGCCATGGAGTTCTGGCAGGGCAGGGAGTCCCGCCTGCATGACAGGTGCCATATGCATGCACATGCACATGCACATGCACATGCACATGCACTTGCACATGAACATGCTGCATACCCACACATATGCTTGCGCTTGTAACGTCACAACTCCCTCCTCTCGCAACCGGCCTATAAACCGCTGCCACACACACCCCGCGTACACTTGCCAGCTCTGTGATCAACTGAGGTGGGCTCTGTGAGCTTAAAAGCATCTCAGAAGCATCGCAAAACGTTCACCTACTCTGGTGTCATGCTCAATAAATTGCTGCCACGTATTGCACCATGGCCTCTATATGGGGGCTCGATTGGAGCACACTTGCCAGCTCTGTGATCAACTGAGGTGGGCTCTGTGAGCTCAAAAGCATCTCAAAAGCATCTGCACACCTCACGCCTGTTTTGGGCTATATACTGTTCTACTCTTCACTAACATGATGGTGATCAAGCCACGTTGTAATGGAGCGCTGCTGCAGTGATCACCATGTGTGTGTCTTCTTCCGATCAACATGCGTGTCCCTCCTCCATGGTTCCGTCCCACCATTGCAGGCTGCGCTACAAGAAAGATGTGCATGGCAAGTGGGTGGTAGAGAGACTGGCTCCCTAGCTACCGGTAGCAAGGGACTGATGAAACACTAGTTTCGTAGCAGGAGAAGAGGCGGACAGGCATCACCACACCAGTGCATGATTTTGAGCCTACAGCACGATGGGTTTATGTAGCTTATCTGTGCGTGAAATATGTATGTACATACCGTACATTTCATGGGTGGTGGGCTGGAAATATAGCAAGCAACCGTCCGCACCATTGGGTATGTTCTTTCTGCGTGTAAATTCCATTCCACAAAGTGGGTACATACGGTAGTGTGTTCTGACATAAATTGCCTTCAATGCTTCGTGGTATCCTTCCAATCGCAACATCGGTGATACAGTACCGGGAACAACACACCGGGAATCTTTTGGGCCTGTGATACCGGTAGGTAAGCGGCACGCCCCTCATCGGGAGCTCATCTCGTCTAGTCTCGTCTCGTCTCTACATCAAGGGAGGGAACCTCTAAACTCCACATTTGAGGGCTGCGAGTGTCCTTATTCTGGCTAGGCTAGGTCACCATTGCACCGCCGCAACACATCAGTCTTGCACAGATGCACACCTTCACATCTGCCACATTTCCACGTTTACCACATCCTCACGTCTACCTGGATGATAAAAGCCTAGCTGCCTGCCTATTCTAAAAGCTAGAAACTGGGGGAGGGAGCAGCAAGGTGTGGTGGAGGGGTGGTACGGTAGTCGTAGAGCAGGTAAGCTAGGCTAGAGGTTGGAGGGCATGAAGGCGTTGAAGCCATCCGCTGCAGTGGAGAGCAGCATGCCCGGGATGTGCGGATGCCAGTGCACCTCCTTTATGTCCGTCTGACCCTGCAGTGTGTGTTAGAGGGGCGAAAGAAAAGGAGGGGAGTGGAAAGACGTGGTGGGTGGAAATGACCACGGAGGAAGGAAAGTGGTGTTGAGGCAGAAGCTGCGATCGCTGTTTTGAAAGAATGGTGTCCCTACAACAAAGGACCTTCCAGGAATGGTGGCAGTCAATTCAGGTCACTTGAACAGAAAGCGATGCCATCAAACAGAGAAAAAGAAAGCCAATGCGCAGTCTAGGAGCCAGTTGACGCATGAGCTAGGGAAGAGAACAAGAGCTGCCGAAAGTTGTGGACAAACAGTGGGGTGGAGAAGGAGCAGCTGGAGAAGGGAGAATGTCAGGACGTGAGTGAACAAAAGCTGGAGATTTCTGACAATTACACACAGCAGCAGTGCTAGTGTGGGTGGGGATCAACGAAGAGGTGAGGGAAATCAAATTGCATTCCTGATGCACAAGGGCAGCATGGTGATTGGATGGGAGGGTTACAGAGTGCAGGACAAAGAATGGAAGGGAGAGAGCATGCCTGGTGCACGAAGAGCAGCTGAGGTGGCAGGTCTGATGGCGCCTCTGCCTGCGGCTTCTTCTGCCCTGCCTCAAACTCCGCCTCCTCCTCTGCATCGCGCTCCAATGACAGGTCCCATATGCTGCCATACGACACGTCACCATAGGATGGTGGGGGGTAAAACAGGGCAGGTGAAAGAATGTTGTTGGGGGCAACTCAAAATTCGAACTCCGCCTCCTCCTCTGCATCTCGCTCCAATGACAGGTCCCACATGCTGCACCGCACATGGTGGCGGGTAAACAAGGGTGGTTGGAGGGGTGTGGGGATGGGAGAAGGGATGGGAATGGGGATTAGGGGAGGGGAGGGATGAGGAGAAAAATTTCGGGATTGGAATGTTGTTGTTGAATGGCGAGACTAGGGTAAGGGAAGGAAGTAAGTCAGAAATGGTGGCAGGCAGGTGAATATGGCAGGCAGGGAAGGAGTGGCATTTGCTGGTGACTTCAACTCCCACAACCACCACCAACCCCACCCCCACCACCACCACCCACCCCCACCACCACCACCCACCCCCACCACCACTCACCACCACTCCCCCCCACCCCCCACCACCACTCCCACACCACTCACGTGATCTGGTTATCAGCACAAGAAGTAACAAGCGTGGAGCTCTCATGCGGGCTCCACTCGATGGACGTGATGGGCTGGCGGTGGTGGCTGAAGTGCGCTATGAACGCGCCCCCCTCCTTGCCCGCCCCCGCCTCCCGCAGCAGACGCAGGTCCCAGATGCGGAAGGACCCGTCGTCACACCCCGATGCCACCATGCAACTCGCGAGTCTGGTAAGGAGGAGACGGGGGGAGGAGGGAGAGTGGGGAGAGGGGAGAGGGGGGAGGGGGGAGAAGGGGGTGGGGGTAGGGGGGAGAGGGGGGAGGGGGGAAGGCGGGAGGTGCAGCACGTGCGTGTGGGACGATGAAAGGGGCGTGTCTCCCGCAGCAAGCGAAGGTCCCAGATGCGGAAGGAGCCGTCATCACACCCCGATGCCACCATGCAGCTCGCGAGTCTGGGAAGCAGGGAGAGAGAGGGCGGGCGGCAGGGGGAAGAGGGGCAGGGGGAGGCCAGGGGAGGGGAAGAGGGAGAAGAGGGAGAAGAGGGGGGAGGAGACAGAGGGGGGAGGGGGGAGAGGGGAAAGGCGCAGCACATGCGTGTGGGGACGATGAAAGGGGTGTGCCTTGCGCATCAAGCGAAGGTCCCATATGCCACCATGCAACTCGCGAGTCTGGCAAGCAGAGAGGGAAGGGGGGAGCAGGGGAAGAGGGAGACAGGGAGGACAGGAGGAGTGGGGGGAGCAGGGAGAGGGGGGGCGGGGGAGAGGGGGGGGGGGGCGGGGAGAGGGGGGGCGGGGAGAGAGGGGGGGCGGGGAGAGGGGGGGCGGGGAGAGGGGGGGCGGGGAGAGGGGGGGCGGGGAGAGGGGGGGCGGGGAGAGGGGGGGCGGGGAGAGGGGGGGCGGGGAGAGGGGGGCGGGGAGAGGGGGGGCAGAGAGAATAACAGGGAGAATGGGGGAATGGGGGGAGCTCAGCACGTGCATGCAGGAGGGAGAGAGGGGAGTGGGAGAGTGGGGGAGAAAGGAGTTAAGGTTAAGGATGAGAGAATTAGCGAGGAGAGAGGAGGACGACGAGGCAGGGGCAGAGGAGGCAGAAGGAAGGGGTTGAACGGGGAAGAGAATCCAATCAGTAGCAAGAGATGGTGTGCGAGCAGAGCAGAGCAGAGCAGAGCAGGGCAGGGCAGGGCAGGGCAGGGCAGGGCAGGGCAGGGCAGGGCAGAGCAGAGCAGAGCAGAGCAGAGCAGAGCAGAGCAGAGCAGAGCAGAGCAGAGCAGAGCAGAGCAGAGCAGAGCAGAGCAGAGCAGAGCACATCGGAGCACACCTGTTCCAGGAGACGACATTGACATCGGCGTCATGTGCCTTGACGCGCAGAGCAGGGGCAGTGCGCGAGGCAGCACGCACGTCCCAGAAGCACACCGTGCCGTCCACCCCGCTGGATGCAAACACCTCAGGCTCCGTGGGGCTCCACTGGTGGTGGTGTTGGGGGGGGTAGGGAGTGGGTGGTGGACGGAGGAGAGGAGAGGAGGACGAGGAGAGTGGGTAGGTGGGTTGGATTGGACTGTGAGGAGGTGTGATGTTGGAGGGATGGCGGGAGAGAGCGCTGCCTCTTAACATAGCTCATGCAATGTGCCAATTCCAATGCCCCAGGCCCCATGCCTCACCCCACAAGCCATACTCAACCCCCATCCCCCATGCCCCATCCCCCAACCCCCTACCCCTGTGCCCCAGGGCCACACCTGGAGGTCCTGGATGTCTTCAACGCTGCCCTGGTGCCCTCTGAACTTACTCTCGCCCACCACCCACTTGCCGCCCTGTGCCCCGTGCCCCCATCCCCCCTGCTCCATGCCATGTTTTGAGTCGACTCAAAACACACCTGGATGTCTTCAACGCTGCCCTGGTGCCCTCTGAACTTGCTCTCGCCCACCACCCACTTTCCGCCCTCCACTGGCCGCCACTCCGCTATCCCGCCCTTGCAGTCGCCTGCACGCGAGGCAGAGCGTAGGAGAGGTGCGGGCAGAGGCGACAGGGGGTGGGGCAGAGGCGAGAGAGGGGCATGTCAGAACATGCATTGGGAGTGGAAGACGAGGAGAGGCAGCGGGGGCAGTGGGAGTTAAAGTCACAGTAAGCATCAGCAGGGATGAAGGCAGGCAGGCAGGCAGGCAGGCAGGCATAATGGGATGTGCCCTTGTACCCTTGTACCCTTGTACCCTTGTGCCGTTGTGCCCTTGTACCCTTGCACACAAGAGAGGATTCTGAGACTTCTGAGCCTTGCCCCTCGACCAAGGACCAAGCAAAGAGAGGTAGGCCTTGTCATCGGCTCGGCTCAGCACGCCTAGCATTACGCATCCATGCCTTTCCTCCGCATGCACGCCTTCTATCCCCCATGCCATGCATCCCATGTATAATATATCCCCTATGAGGCCACCCCACTTCACAGCAGCACAACCCAGCAGGCAAAGCTCCGGATGAAAATACAACACCGCCACAAACCCTCCCCACCTGCAGCACCACATACCACCACAGTCCCATAAATCCAACCCAATCAGCCTGAAGCGTGCAAGCGTCCCACCCACCCGTGGCGAGAGTGGCGGTGTTGGCAGGGCTCCAGTCAACAGCAAAGCCCTCATCCTCATGGCCTGAGTAGATGTGCAGGGGGGCCTGGCGGGCCACTGGGGGCGATATGTCTGCCGCTGCCACTGCGGACGATGCTGCTGTTGCTGCCAGTGACCGCACCTGGGGTGCTAGGTCCCACACCTGATGGGGGAAGGGGGATCGGGGAAGGGGAAAGGGGGATCGGGGAAGGGGAAAGGGGGATCGGGGAAGGGGAAAGGGGGATCGGGGAAGGGGAAAGGAGGATCGGGGAAGGGGAAAGGGGGATTGGGAAAGGGGAAAAGGGAGGTGGAAGCCGGAAGAGGGATGTGGGGTGGGAAGAGGAAAGTTGGAAGTCAAAGCATGGATCAGGAGGCAATAGCGGAATGGGGAAAATAAGGGGGAGGTTGTTATAGTAACGGGAAAGGCATGTGAGTGGGCATCATGCATGCCGATGCCGGTTAGTGTATGGAATGTGTGTGAGTGAAGGTGCATATTGCCATGCTTATGCGCACTGCACACTCAACATGCATGTGCGCACATATGCAGGTGTTCCAATACGCATGCATTCCCACATGCCCATCTTCCCACATGCCCATCTTCCCACATGCAACGCATTTCTTCCCCTGTGCACACTGAACACACCTGCACGCGGCCAGAGTCGCTCCAGGAGGCAGCAATGTGGGGCTGCTGCGGCATGCAGCGGATGCGGTTCACCCCCCCATAGTGCACCACACTGCGCGCCTGCACGATGGGAGCAGGGGCGAGGCGGACGAGGGAGAGAGAGGGGTGGGAAGAGAGAAGAGGGGTGGGAGGGAGAGGGGGTTGGAAGGAGAGAGATTGGGGAGGGGGGAAGGATATTTGGGAGGGGAGAAGAGAGAGACAGACAGGTTTTGAGTCGACTCAAAAGCAGGGTATTTGGCAGGGGAGAAGAGAGAGACAGACAGGAGAGGACGGCACGAAAGAGAAAGCGGAAAAGGAGAAGAGGATAGCGCATGGAAGGAGGAGAGAAGGGTGAGAGGAGAGGAGACACACAGGCACTGGCATGCACCCACCCACCCACCTCATCCCGCTTGCCTCCTCACCACCTCTCATGTGCATCCCCACCACCCCCATACCCTTGCCGTCCCCTCCCTGATGCAAGTTCATAACACTTTTCTCACCCATTCCTTACCCTGCCCATCTCCTGCCTTTCCCCCTCTTGCGAGCTCGCCCTCCCCAGCCCCTCTCCCCCCACCTCTCGAGTCCTTCCCACATCTCACTCCCTGCTCTTCCCTTCTGCCCTCAAATACCGCCTGCACGCTGCCTCTTCCCCCTCCTTCTACCTGCATGATTGGTTTCCCCGGCTTGGGAATGCGGAACACGCCCGTGCCCTCCCCGCCCATGGCGCTGGAGTCATCCTCATCGTCATCATCGCTGCTGCTGCTGTCGTCGTCCCCCTCGTGTTCGTACAATACAAACACCGCCTGCACACCCATACGCACCGTGCCTACTCCATCTCTCTCCTCTCTTCCCCCCCCCGTCCTTTCCCCCTCTCTCCCCTCCGCCTACCTGCATAATCGGTTTCCCCGGCTTAGAAGAAGGATCATCCTCATCGTCATCATCGCTGCTGCTGCTGCTATTCGGGGTGGCTAAAAAGCCCTACCTGCATGATGGGCTTCCCGGGCTTGGGAATGCGGAACACGCCCGTGCCCTCCCCGCCCATGGCGCTGGGGTCATCATCATCATCGTCATCATCGCTGCTGCTGCTGTCGTCGTCCCCCTCGTCCTCATCGTCCTCCTCCGCGTCTCGCCGGTGCCGCATCTTGCTGATGTTAGCAAGACGCACTGCTGCCACCACGTTGCCGTCCGCTGATGGCGCCTGTGACGGGGGGTAACAAGGGGTGCAGGGGTGTGGAGGGCGATGGGGTTGACAAGGGGTGCCGCATCTTGCTTATATTCGCCAGCCGCACTGCTGCCACCACGTTGCCGTCCGCTGATGGCGCCTGTGCCGGTGGGTGATGAGGGGAGACGGGGGGTGACACGGCGTGCAGGGGTGTGGAGGGGGGTGCTAGAGGGGAACGGGGGTTGACAGGGGTTGACAGGGGTTGAAAGGGGGTGCAGGGGGTGCCACTCTTCTCTTCACAAGTACACAACACACAGTGTACTGCTGTGCTCGTATCCCTCTCCTCCTATCGCGAGGGATGGGGACAAGACAAAGAGCCTGCGCGGCGGGTGGTGGTACCTGCGTGCCGGCGACAAAGAAGAGAGTGTGTGGGAAGGTCTTGCGGTTGTCCCCCAAGGAGTCCGGCACCACATCCAGGCTGCTCAAACAGGCCGCAAGGGCATGCACACCACACGCCCACGCCACACGCCCACACCACACGCCCACACCACACGCCCACACCACACGCACGCGTGCACCACAGGCACACACACCACATGCATGTGGTGTGGGGGGAGGAGAGCAAAAGAGAGATGGGGAGGGGGTTGTTGGGTGGATGGGGTAGGGGGGTAGGGTGAGGGATGAGAAAAGTACACCACAGGCGCACACACCCAGGCGCAAACACCACAGTCGCACACACCCGGAGCACACACCACAGTCACACACACCCGGAGCACACACCACAGTCGCAAACAGCCACCACAGGCATGCACACGTGTGCGGAGGGAAACAGGCGGAAAAAAGGGAGGAAGGAGGGGTTGAGAGAAAGTTGGAGCTAGGTGAGGGGGAGGGGGGGAAGGGGAGGGTTGGGAGGGGGAGGGTGGGCAGGAAGGGAAGGGAGTGTGTGGCGGGACGAGCAAAGGTGGGAGGCGGAAGGGAAGAACGTCCGCCAGCGAGAAAGCAGCCGGAAAGCAGAGGCGGGTTGGGGACGGGGAGACGCGGGATTTGGAGGCGAAGGCGAGGGGTTAGATGGAGAGAGAGGGCACCTGAGGCAGGGCCAGTTGAGGCGGAACTGGTGCAAACAGTTGTAGGCCGTTGGATCGAACTGCAACTCCTCTCCCTCCTCCATCTCGTCCACTCCCGGCCGCCACACCTGCACGAGGGAGAGGGACAGGGACAGGGAGGGGGAGGCGCGCGGTTGAGGTCGGTTGGGAGGAGCGAGAACGGGGAATTTTGAGTCAATTAAAAGAGCAGCTCCTCTCCCTCCTCCATCTCGTCCACTCCCCGCCGCCACACCCGCGGGGGAGAGGGAGAGGGAAGGGGAGAGGGAGAGGAAGAGGGAGAGGGAGAGGGAGGGGTGTGTGTGGGTGGTTGGAGGTGAGTGTGTGGTGTGGGGAAGAGGTAGGTTGCGCGCGCGCGCGAGTGATTGGACGAAACACGAACATTCTAACCCGTAAAACCCCAGAACCCGCACCGCTCAACCCTCCAAAAACCCCTACGAGAACGCTCTCCGCCCCGCCATAACAAAGCAAACATCCGCTCATCCCATTCCCCCAATTTATCTTCCCCGGCCGCCGTAACTACCGTTATCTTTTACCCCCTCCCCTTCCCCCTTCCCCCTCTCCCCCTATCCTCCTCGGAATTCCTCCTCCCCCCCTCCCGCGCAACGCCGCGTTCCCCCTCCCCCTCACCGCGGGTCTCGACGTGCCCTCCGCTGCGGGCGCAGCGGTCTCCATGCGCTCGGGCCTCGGCGCCGTGCGAGTGCCCTGCGGCGCGCGGATGGGGGGTGGGGGGAGCGCGGGGAAGACGGGGAGGCGGATGGCGGGGAGCAGACGGGCGGGATGATCAATGAGCAACAAAAAACGACACCGCGGGAAGGAAAAAGCCGGAGACGGGTGTGGGCGGGTTGAGGGGGGAAAGGGAAAGAAGGGGAGGGGGGTTTCAATAGCAGAACCTACACTGCGATAAACGCCGGCCCGATACAAACATCACACGGATACAGAAAGACTCGTATGTCAGGTATAAGTAATGAGTTCCTCCGTGATCTCTCAACGCCACCGCCAAGCGCAAAGCGCTTCGCGCCCAACGCAGTCTCTTTTGGCTCTGCGCGACTTGCCTTGGACTTCGCCTTGCCTCTCTTCGGCTTGCCGCCTCTAGCCATGGCGCCTTCCTTTCAGTAGTTACTAAGCCAACAAGTTTAGCTGCTGCACGTGGGTGCTGGCGCTGGGGTGAGGTTATGTTGGCCGCAGATTTGGCGTCAGAAGGAGCTTGGGGTGAAAGACTGCGGGGTTTGGGTTTGAGGTTGACAAGAGATGGAATGCTTTGAAAGTTGTGTCGACCAAAAACAGATGCGATAAACATCCAACGTTTCATACTTCAATCCGTTTTCATTAGCTTATAAGCTAAGCTAGGAGCCTCCATTTCTAGGTTGCATAGCAGGCCTATGTATTTGGTTTGTCATTTTGGAGATATCATTTCAAGATTGATTTTGAGAACACCCTTTGGAGCACCCTTCTTGAAACTATAATTAAACAAATGCTTCAAATAGTTAATAGAAATATATCTTTAAACAACATCAAGCATAATACAACATACAAAGATTGTTACAACCCCAAGTGGGACTTAGCGAAGGATCGCTCAGGGTTGATTGCAGGTAATCTTGCAGCGAATGTATTGAACTCAGGTCAGAGTGAATGTAAATGATTGAGATGATAATAACATCTATATATTGAGTTTATATAGGAAATACAAAGGAATGCAAAACGACCTAGACTAGCCATGTACACTATAGGGTACATTCCCATATTGCAGCGAAGTTCAAATTGTGCGGCGCGGGAATCAGTTTCAAACCTGTTCCCGCTCTTTTCATTTCAAATGTTAAGTGCCTGCACCGGTTTGATCAGACCATTTCAAATGTCACTTCGACTCTTCTGACGCATCGACTTCGTACTCGGTAGGGTCAGCTACTGCAACATACATGAATGCCTTCTCATTGAATTTCATATCGTAACACTCCCCTTCATTCCTGGGACCCAGAGAGCTGGCTCTCTTGACTACTCGCGTGAGGTCGGATTAGTGCTTGTACTGCTGATGTGACAGTCACTTGGTGAGAAAGTCGTCTGTCATTTCGGTAGTAGGGCAGTACGCGAGGTCAACATTGCCCTGGTCTTTGACGAAAAAGTACCGAAGCGCAATGTGTTAAACTGCATTATGCTTGTAGGCTGTAGTGGGGTAGCCAATATGGGGTACAACCCCAACTAGGGTTTGCTACTTGTACCCAACTGTTTCATTCAATGCATCATTCTTGCCTAGTTCTTCTGACATGGTATTCAGAGCAGGAGGTCCCTAGGACCTACCGACCGTTTTTTTTTTTAAGGGCCCACCACCGCTCGCATGCGGTTACCACGCTACCCCGTGCCCTAGCCTCGTAGCCCCCTTCGTTAGCGCCCTCGCGCGCCCCTCGTTAGCGCCCTCGCGCGCACCCTCGTTAGCGCCCTCGCGCGCCCCTTCGTTAGCGCCCTCGCGCGCCCCTTCGTTAGCGCCCTCGCGCGCCCCTTGCTAGCGCCCTCGCGCGCCCCTCACTAGCGCCCTCGCGCGCCCCTCGCCGAGCCGCCCGCTCGCAGCCAGCCCGCCCGCTCGCTGCCCGCTTCGCGGCCCGCTCGCTACGCAGCCCGCCCGCCCGCTCGCTGCCCGCTTCGCGGCCCGCTCGCTACGCAGCCCGCCCGCCCGCTCGCTGCCCGCTTCGCGGCCCGCCCGCTTCGCAGCCCGCTCGCTCGCTGCCCGCTTCGCGGCCCGCCCACTTCGCAGCCCGCCCGCCCGCTCGCTGCCCGCTTCGCGGCCCGCCCGCCTCGCAGCCCGCTCGCCCCGCTGCCCGCTTCGCGGCCCGCCCACTTCGCAGCCCGCCCGCCCGTTGGCTGCCCACTTCGCGGCCCGCCCGCATCGCAGCCCGCTCGCCCCGCTGCCCGCTTCGCAGCCCGCCCGCCCGCCCGCTGCCCGCTTCGCGGCCCGCCCGCCTCGCAGCGTCGCCCGCCCGCCGTGCTGCCCACTTGCAGCGCCGCCTGCCCGCCGCGCTGCCCGCTTCCCGGCCCGTCCGCCGAGCTGCCCGCTCGCAGCGTCGCCCTCCCGTCGCGCTGACCGCTTGCAGCGCCGCCTGCCCGTAGCGCCAGCCTCGCCCGCTGCTCTCTATCCGTGCACAGTCGCCTTCCCCTGCTGCGGCAGCTTGCGTTACTCTGTCACACTGTCGCTATGGCTTCCATCCGCGTACTGTCGTTCGATGCTGAGGGCCGCCCTGTGCGGTTCACCGCTTGGCTAGATGACCTGCAGCTGTTCCTCCTGAGCGATAGCAAGGAGCATGTGTCGCTCTATGATTACGCGTCTGGTGCTGCGCCTGCCCCTCCTGCCACAGCTGAGCTTAGTGTTCGTTCCCACTGGCAGACTCGTGACGCAGCTGCTCGCCTAGCCATTCGCAGTCACCTGCCGTTAGCTGAGCTAGAGCATTTTGGCGACTGCAAATCCGCTAAGGCCCTGTACGACGCTGTCGTCGCTCGCTACTCCTCGCCTGCCACAGCCGAGCTTAGCCGCCTCATGCTGCCGTACCTGTTCCCCGATCTGTCCACCTTTACTACAGTCGCCGATCTTATCACCCACCTTCGCACTAGTGATGCTCGCCTGCGTGCCGCTCTTCCCACCGAGTTCTGCGCTAAGAACCCCCCTCCACTGTACTGGACACTCCACTTCATAGTCACCCGTCTCCCTGACACCCTCCGCTCAGTTCGAGACCACTTCCTTGCTCGCTGTCCCACTGAGCTCACAGTCGCCCTCCTAGAGGAGCACCTGCTCGCGGCCGAAAAGAGCATTGTAGCTGTCGGTGCTGCTCGTGGCGCTCCTCGCACCCCCATCTTTGAGGGGTGTTCTCCCTCTCCCCTCGCTCCCTCCTACGCTGCTGCTGCTGCTGTTGACTTCCTTGGTGCTGAGTCTGTTGGCGCTGCTTCTACTCCTGGTGGGAGGCGCCGCACCGGCAAGGGCAAGGGGGGCAAAAGTGGTGGTGGTGGCGCTGGTGGGGGAGGAGGTGGGGGAGGTGGGGGGGGAGGCGGTGGAGACGGGGGCGGCGGAGGAAGCAGTGGCAGTAGTGGCGGCGGCGGCGGTGGCGGCGGTGGCGGTGGTGGCGGTGGTGGCGGTGGCGGTCGGAGCGGTGGTAGTGGTGGCGGCGGAGGTCGGAGTGGAGGCACTGGCTCGGGCCAGAGCTCCCAGCAGCAGCAGCGTCCCCAGACGACCCAGCAGCTTCGTGAGTGGCTTGCTCAGCGTGGGACGTCGGGGGCCAGTGCCCGCTGTTCTTATGTCATTCGCACAGGTGACCGCAAGGGACAGACGTGTGGGAGGTTCCACACCCCGTACCGCTGCTTCTCCCGCCTTGACGACGCTTGGCGTGAGGAGATGGGTGCGGATGTTGAGCGCCCCCGCTGGGCTGAGCTCATGAGGGCTGGTGTTGATATCTTTGCTCTTGACTATGATGCTATTATTGCTGCCATGTATGCATTGACTGTTAGTGCCGAGGGAGACTGTTACTTGTGTGTGCCGCCTGACCCAGGTATAGAGCCTGCTGCCCTGGGTACTAGTGAGTCTGCTCTCTCTGGTATGGTGCCCCCTGTACCTGCTCCCCCCAGTGCTGTCCCGGCTGGTTTCGAGTCTGCTCTCTCAGGTACAGCACCCACACAGACTCCTCTCTCAGGTACCGCACCGGCTGAGGCCTGTCACACCTTCACCCTTGACTCAGGTGCTTCCCGTTGCTTCTTTCGTGACAGTACTGAGCTCACACCGCTTCCTGCACCGGTCCCAGTCTCCTTGGCTGACCCCTCTGGGGGCCCAGTCCTTGCCCAGTCCACCACTGTCCTCCCTTGTCCGGCGGTTCCGTCTGGCTCGTTGTCGGGTTTCCACCTCCCCTCGTTCTCGACGAACCTGGTGAGCAACGCTGTCCTCCAGGATCAGTGGGTTGACACCTTTACCCCTGGCGGACAGCGTGTGGCGATCTGCACGTGCTCCAGGACCGGCCGTCACCTGGCTACGTTCACCCGTCGGCCGGGGTCGAGTCTCTACACACTGACCACTGCGTCTCCCCAGGTAGCTGCTGTCGGTCAGGTGTCTGCGTCAGGTCTGGTGGCCCACGCCTGTGAGTGTCGCTCCCTGTCGCACCAGACTCTTCTCTGGCACCACCGCCTGGGTCACCCCTCCTTGCCACGCCTTCGTGGCATGCACCGTCGCCTCCTTGTGTCCGGTCTTCCCAGGTCCCTCCCTCCCCTCCCTGCCTCGCCTGCGCCGCCTTGCCTTCCTTGCGTCGAGGGGCGGCAGCGCGCCGCTCCTCACTCCTCCTCGTTCCCCCCGACAGAGGCTCCTCTGGAGACCCTCCACCTGGACGTGTGGGGCCCAGCCCGCGTTCGTGGTCAGGGCGGTGAGCGGTACTTTTTGCTGGTTGTCGATGACTACTCGCGTTACACCACGGTCTTCCCCTTGCGCACCAAGGGTGAGGTCCCTGCTGTTCTGATCCCTTGGATCCGCACGGTTCGTCTCCAGCTCCGCCGCCGTTTCCGGACGGATCTTCCTGTCCTGCGTCTGCACTCTGACAGAGGTGGTGAGTTTTCCTCCGATCTCTTGAGGACCTTCTGTCAGGCGGAGGGCATCGAGCAGACCTTCACGCTTCCGGACTCCCCACAGCAGAATGGGGTTGCTGAGCGTCGCATTGGCCTGGTCATGGAGGTCGCTCGTACCTCCTTGGTCCACGCGGCGGCTCCCCATTTTCTGTGGCCGTTTGCTGTCCGGTACGCCGCGCATCAGCTCAACCTCTGGCCCTGTGTCTCCTTGCCGGAGACCTCGCCCACACTGCGTTGGACGGGGGAGGTTGGCGATGCGTCGCGCTTCCGGGTGTGGGGTGCTCGTGCCCTTGTCCGCGATACGTCTGCGGACAAGCTCTCCTCCCGCACGCTTCCCTGTGTCTTCCTTGGCTTTGTCCCTGACGCGCCTGGCTGGCAGTTTTACCACCCCACCTCGCGCCGGGTCTTCGCCTCTCAGGATGTCACCTTTGACGAGTCGGTCCCTTTTTACCGTCTCTTCCCCTACCGCACTGCCCCCCTCCCTCCCCCGCCGCTTTTCCTTGCTCCTGGTCCCCCTCCGGTAGACCCCCTTCCCCCTCAGGGTCCTGCTCCCTCAGGTGTCTCTCAGGTAGACCCTCCTCCCGTCGCTGAGCCTGTCGAGGTCACAGGTGACTCAGGTGCTGCTGCGGGTGGTGCTGCTGGGAGTGCTGAGCCTGGGGGTGCTGAGCCTGGGGGTGCTGGGCCTGGGGGAGCTGGGGCTGCAGGTGCTGGGACTGAGGGTGCTGGAGCTGAGGGTACGGTGCCTGAGAGTACGGAGCCTGGGGGTGCTGCGCCTGGGGGTACTGAGCCTGCGGGTGCGAGGCCTGGGAGTGCTGGGACTGCGGGTGCTGGAGCTGAGGGTACTGTGCCTGAGAGTTTGCCGCCTGGGGGTGCTGAGCCTGGGGGTGCTGCGACTGGGGGTGCTGAGCCTGCGGGTACTGAGCCTGCGGGTACTGAGCCTGGGGGTGCTGCTACTGAGCCTACGGAGCCTCGGGTTACTGTGTCTGGGGGTGCTCCGGTTCGGGGTGCTGAGCAGTCTCTCACACCGCAGCAGCTTCGTGACTGGTACGTCCGACGCTTTCGCCGTCCTAGTGGCTCGGCTGGAGTTGGGGGTGCTGGAGTTGCTCGTCCTGGGGGTGCTCGTACTGGGGGTACTGGAGCTGCCGGGACTGGCTGTTCTGGGAGCACTGCGACTGGAGCTGCTGGAGCTGGGGACTCTGGCGCTGGCGGTGCTAGCGGAGTTGGAGCTCCCGACTCTGGGGGTGGCGCTGCTGCTGGTGCTGCGGACCCACCTGGTGGAGCTGCTGCTGGAGCTGGGGACCCGGCCGGTGGAGCTGCTGCTGGTGCTGTGGACCCGGACGCTGGAGCTCCTACTGGTGCTGAGGACCCGGCCGCTGGAGTCCCTTCTGCTTCTGGAGACGCTGCGCGGCCGCGACCGTACTTCGTACCGCTCCTTCAGCAGGTTCTTGGGCAGGCTCCTCCTCCTTGTCCTCCTCCCTCCGTAGAGTGTCCTCCGCCTGTCCAGCCGCAGTCACAGTTACCGCCTACCTCGCCTCTCCCTGCTCCCTCTCCTTACACTGGTCCCACAGGAGGTCTTACAGAGCGTCGTGAGCCTGAGTCTCGTCCTGCGTCGCCTGTTCGTCCTGCTCGCACTGGTAGTCGTGTCCGTCGTGAGCGTCCTCCTCCTGTCCCAGGCACTCACTACATGACTCTGCGTCCCTCTACTGCTCCTCGGCGTGTCCCTCTACCGTCTCCTCCTGCGTCCTCTTTGCCTGCCGTTCCGGACCCTGAGTCTGACCGGTATCGCGCTGAGCACCCTACAGTCACGCGTCTCCTTGCTACTGTTGTCACTGACCCCACCTTTGAGTCCTCGGCTGCGTCTGCTCTGGTCGCTGAGTTGGTTGACTTTGCTGCTGCCTGTCGTCTAGACTACGCTGCTAGTCTTGTCGCTGAGTCTGAGTCTGAGTCTGTCTCTCCTCCGTCCGTCGGGGGTGAGTGTGCTCTTGGCACGGACGTCCTTGAGGACAGGCAGGAGGACTTTGACTCACTTGCGGCTGCTGTACCTCATCTCGTGGCCTGGTTGCTTGCCCCTGAGGGAGACCCGGATGCAGTAGACATCCCCACTCCGCGCACTTACGCTGAGGCGATCGCGAGTCCCTACTCCTCTCAGTGGCAGACAGCCATGGACGCAGAGATGGCATCCTGGAAGTCCACAGGCACCTACGTCGACGAGGTTCCCCCTCCTGGGGCGAACATCGTCGATGGTATGTGGATTTTCAGGGTGAAGCGGCCGCCAGGTTCTCCGCCTGTCTTCAAGGCTCGTTACGTTGCTAGAGGCTTCAGTCAGCGTCAGGGGGTCGACTTCTTCCAGACCTTCTCCCCCACCCCGAAGATGACCACTCTTCGGGTTCTGCTGCACGTTGCTGCTCAGCGTGACTACGAGCTTCACTCTCTTGACTTCAGCACAGCGTTCCTGCAGGGCAGCCTGCACGAGGAGATCTGGCTGCGCCGCCCACCTGGCTTTACTGGGTCGTTTCCCCCTGGTACCCAGTGGAGTCTCCGCCGGCCAGTCTACGGTCTCCGCCAGGCGCCACGTGAGTGGCACGACACACTGAGGACTACTCTTGCGGCTCTTGGGTTCGCGCCGTCTACTGCTGACCCGTCGCTGTTTCTGCGCACAGACACGTCGCTGCCGCCGTTCTACATCCTCGTGTACGTCGACGACTTGGTCTTTGCTACTGCTGACACTGAGGCACTCGCTCGTGTGAAGTCGGAGCTGCAGAAGAGACACACCTGCACTGACCTGGGTGAACTGCGTAGCTACCTTGGCTTGCAGATCACCCGGGACAGAGCTCGCCGCACCATCACCCTGACTCAGTCACACATGGTGCAGCAGGTCCTTCAGCGCTTCGGCTTCCAGTTCTCCTCACCACAGGCCACACCTCTGGCTACCAGCCACTCGCTCTCAGCTCCACCTTCGGACGAGTCCGTAGAGCCGAGTGGCCCGTACCCAGAGCTTGTAGGCTGCCTCATGTACCTGATGACTTGCACGCGACCTGACCTCGCGTACCCTCTTAGCATCCTTGCTCGTTACGTTGCGCCTGGGAGACACAGGCGAGAGCACTGGGAGGCTGCTAAGAGGGTGCTGCGTTACCTGTGCAGTACATCAGGCATGGGGCTGGTGCTTGGAGGACGCGACAGAGTTGTCCTCACTGGTCACTCGGACGCCTCTTGGGTGGACGACCTGGCTACGCAGCGGTCGTCACAGGGTTACACCTTCAGCCTTGGCTCAGGTTCTGTCTCGTGGCGGTCCACCCGCTCTTCCTCTGTTCTCGGCTCTAGTTGTGAGGCTGAGATCTACGCCACAGCCATGGCTGCACAGGAGTTACGCTGGCTCACCTACCTGCTGACTGACTTGGGAGAGCGGCCTAGTTCTCCTCCAGTTCTGTACGGTGACAACAAGGCGGCTCTTGCCTTGTGTCAGGAGCACAGACTGGAGCACAGGACGAAGCACATTGCTCTTCGCTACTTTCTTGCTCGAGAGCTTCAGCAGCGCGGTCAGCTTCGGCTTGTGTACGTGGACTCGAAGGCCAACACTGCTGATATCTTCACCAAGGCGCTCCCGCCTAGTGATCATCAGCGGCACTGTACTTCTTTAGGCCTTGTGTCCACGTTTCCTCACTTGCTCACTGCTTGACATTCTTTGTACTGTACTTTATATATATCTTGTTGCTTGCTTGCTAGGTTTTGATCACTGTGTTGCTTGTCTTGTACTATATCTAGCACTGCATGTGAACTGGCCTTGTGGCCTTTACTTGTGCTCGGAGTGTGGTGACGTTGTGATCCACCCTGGGCTTTGCTTTGCTTTGCTGGACTGGTCTTGTGACCCTTTGTTCTCCCCCACTTTGCCTATGGGGGTGTGTTAAACTGCATTATGCTTGTAGGCTGTAGTGGGGTAGCCAATATGGGGTACAACCCCAACTAGGGTTTGCTACTTGTACCCAACTGTTTCATTCAATGCATCATTCTTGCCTAGTTCTTCTGACACAATGTGCTTCGTGCGGTTCACGAACCCTTGCTTGCTCGCAATCTTGATGGCGCTCTGGTTGTCGCAGTGAAGGCGAAAAGTAGGCGAAGTTGGAAAATTTGCTTCTTGCAGCAACTTCTGCAGGTACAGGCCTTTGTGAACTGCTGCTCTCGCGGCGATGTACTCAGCTTCGGTCGACAACAAGGCAACCAGCTCCTGCTTCTGTGAGTTCCAGGAGATTGTTCAGTTGGTTCCAGGCAAAAGACGTTGGAGAAGATTGGAGAGAAGGCGGAGGAGACACAATTCTCTGCAACGATGGTGGATGGTACGAAGCTTCCCATCCACGGCGAAACATCCCTGCAGTTGGATGAAGGTGCGTTGAGATGGAAGCCGAAGTTACCAGTCACCAACATCAAGGGGTTAGATTTCATTCTGGGGAGATATTTCTTGAAGCAGTTCAACCCCGAGATTGATTGGGTTAACAGGAAGGTGTGCATCTACAACAACGGGAAACGAGTGGAGCTGCGAAGCTGGACGGATACAGGGGATGTTCCTGAAACGACACTGGCGCGGTTCAAACGGACGGTGAACGAGAGTAACACGGGTTACTTAGCACTGGTCATGGCAGCAGCAGAGGAGGAGAAGCCGAGTTCGGAGCTTCCTGCAGCAGTGAAGGAGGTCTTGGAATAGTACAAGGATATAATGCCCGACGACCTACCCGCAGGCGTACCTCCAGCACGCACCCACGAGCACGAGATCGTGGAGGAACTAGGTGTGAAACCCGTCTCACGTACACCATACCGACAAAGTCCGACAGAACTGACATACATGAAGAAGCACATAGAGTATTTACTGGACAGACAACTGATCCGCCCATCCACCTCTCCCTACGGTGCACCATTTCTCTTCACCATAAAACCAGACGGCAGTCTACGGATGTGCATCGACTACCGCGCACTGAACAAATAGACAGTAAAAAATAAATATCCCATACCGCGCATAAACGACCTACTAGACCAACTGCGTGGTGCAACAGTCTTTTCGAAGCTGGACCTACGGTCGGGTTACTGGCAGATCAAGATGGCGGACAACTCGATCCACAAGACGGCGTTCCGTACAAGATACGGCTCCTACAAATACTTGGTGAGGCCGTTCAGATTCTCCAACGCACCAGCAACATTCCAGGCGGAGATGAACCACATCCTACGGCCCCTGCTGGACGAGTGCGTAGTGGTGTGCCTATACGACATACTCATCTACTCCAAGAACATGAAGGAGCACGTAGAGCATCTACGGAAGGTGTTCGGGATCCTGCAAAAACCAAGTTCTACATGAAACTATCAAAGAGCGACTTCGCTCTGAAGAAGGTGTAGTTCCTAGGGCACATGATGAGTGCAGAGAGTGTACACGTAGACCCGCAGAAAATTGAAGCCGCTAAAAGCGGGAGGTCCCGGAGAACGTGAAGGAGTTGCAGCAGTTCCTCGGCTTCGCCAACTACTACAACATGTTTGTGTCGCAGTATGCTAAGATAGCAGCGCCACTGACCGACCTACTAAAAAAGGATACGCCCTTCAAATGGGATACTCCTCATCAGCAAGCCATGGAACAGCTACAGACAGCACTGACCACAGCGCCAGTACTCATCCTACCGGACCCAGACAAGGACTACGTAGTTGAAGCAGACGCTAGTGACCAGGCAGTCGGAGCAGTACTGATGCAGGATCACGGACATGGTTCACAACCTATTGCTTACCTCAGTAAAAAGCTACACGGAGCAAAACTGAACTACCCCATTCACGACAAGGAAGCCTTAGCCATAGTCGTAGCCTTCAAGGCGTGGAGTTGTTACTTAGAGGGAGCCAACGCTAGTGACTAGGCAGTCAGAGCAGTACGGATGCAGTACCTCAAATACCTGAAGTCGCAACCGATGCTCTCACGATGACAGGTGCAGTGGGTGGACTTCTTAGAGACCCACTCCCACTACGACGTTGTCTACAAACCCGGGCTATACAATAAGGCTGACACGTTGAGCCGCCCTGGTCATGTAGCAGGCATCCAGCTCGATGGGATGAACCCTCTGCTCAAGGGTCTATTCCAACATGGGTACTCCATGGACGCAGAGATAGCAATGGCAGAGAAACAAAAGCTGTTACAATGGGAGAAAAACTTAGCGGTAAGGAAGGGCACATAAAAGATTTGGGTACCGAAGTACGCCCCGCTACGGCTGATCCTTCTGTAGGAGTTTGACGACGTACCATACGCAGGACATTTCGGGAGCAACAAGACGTTAGCAGGAATAACAAAGTATTACTACTGCCTCCGGATGGCAGCAGACGTGCAGCAGTTTGTCACCTCATGCGACACGTGCCAGCGGATGAAGAGTAGCAAGTAGAAAAAAGCAGGGTTACTTCAGCCTCTACCCGTACCGGAGCAACCATGGCGGTCGTTAGCCTTGACTTCATTACTGGACTTTCTTCGACCTCACGAGGGCACGATTCCATCCTCGTAGTGATCGATAAGTTCTCCAAAATGGGTCACTTCATACCGACCAACGCCACAGCTACTGCTGAAGCAACTGCTAGCCTCTTCTTCGATCGCATCATTACCATCCACAGCGTCCCCGCTACACTCACCTTAGACAGAAACCCCAAACTCATGAGTAAGTTCTGGAATGAGCTCCTGGGACTGTTGGGGACTAAGCTTGCGATGTCTTCAGCATACCATCCCCAGACTGACAAACAGATAGAGCGACTCAATCAGGTGGTTGAACAGTTACTACGTACAGCTTGCAAAGACGATGTCAGCCACTGGGATCAATAGTTACCGACCCTAGAGTTTGCTTACAACAACGCTTCACATGCGGCCACAGGGAAAACTCCTTTCTTCCTGTGTTACGGACGGGAATCACTCACACCAGTGCAGCTGACCACACCGGCACATGTCCAAGCCGCACACGACTTGGACACCACCATGCAGCAGCTATGGGAGAAGACCCAGCAACATCGCACCACGATGCAGAACTCCCAGAAGGAGTATGCCGATCGCCAACAACGAGATCACTCAGTAGCAGTCGGAGATCAGGTGCTTCTTGACACGCGCAACTTGAACCTGTCTCACCTCCCATCCAAACTCCGGCCTCGCTTCTGTGGTCCATTTCTCATGGAGGCACAGGTGACACCAGTTACATTCCGCTTGCGCTTACCTACTACGTGGAAGCTTCACAACGCTTTCCATGTTCAACTACTGAAACCCTACAAGGACCCCAACCAACAGTTCCAGGGATGGCAGCTACCGCCACCTCCACCTGTACTCGTACAGGATGAACCAGAGTACGAGATCGAGCGCGTTCTCACTCATCGACGCCGCGGCGGCAAGACCCTCGAGTTCCTAATACGCTGGAAGGGATACGACCCCACTGAGGACAGTTGGGTTGCAGAAGCTGATATGGGCAACGCACGCTGTGCTCTCAAGGACTATCTTGTCAAGCAGCAGGCACCCCAGTTCTGCTGGTACAATTGGAGGCTGACAGATGAATTGCTTTTGGCGCGTAGGTAATGTTCAGCCCCAGAAACTGTGTGACGTTGTGGTTGATGGTGATGTCGACGCGCTGCGCCAGGTTTTCCTTGAACTGATTCAGTAGTTTGTTGCAGGTGCCGGTGTACAGCAGGTAATCGACATAGTTGGTCAGAAGAATGTAGTCGCCGTTGAAGTGGAGGCAGTACATTCCTAGGTCGTGCGGCAGCTGCCTGAAGCCGATTTCCAATGTTAGAAACAATAGGAGTGGGGCCTAGGCTTAGTAGCCTAGGCCCACACTAGGAGGTAGTAGGATGTGCCCTAGGACTAGGGTTTTGGGTATGCGAAGGAGAATTGGAGAAGTGAGAATGGGAATGATGGATTGAACTAGCAAGCAGCAGGATACATATAGGAAACCCCAATGGGTTGTACTCACTATTGAGCACCCCACTGCAGGCTAGACAAATAACATAATCTGACACACCCCCATAGCCAAAGTGGGGTGTAATCAGCACACGTGAGAAGTCACAGCAATAGTTCACAATTATCAGCAAAGCTAGTGGCAGTCACAGGAGGCCAGTGAGGAGGAGGAGGAACTGTGGAGGGAGAGAAGAGAGGAGGCGACTACTGAAGTTGCAGACACACGGGCACCAGGAGCACCAGGCTGCAACCTCCTCCAACTGTCTCACTCCCCCCTACACACACCCCCAGGGTCACCACTCGCTCCACGCCCACATCACCCCCCTAGCGCCACTCCCTCGTCTCCCACACATCCACCCCCGCAGCGGCAGCTGCAGCAGTGGGAGACGGAGGAGAAGGAAGGGGCGACGCACACGGAGCACCCCCACACCCGCCACCCCCACACCCTCCTGTCCAGGGGACCCAGGGGGGGGGGGGGAGGGCCGGGGCGGGAGAGCGCACGAGGGCGCAGGCAACCGCGCGTGCAGAGCAACAGCGCGGAGCAGGTAGGGTAGAGCGCACGAGGGCGCGGGCAACCGCGCGTGCAGAGCAACAGCGCGGAGCAGGTAGGGTAGAGCGCACGAGGGCGCGGGCAACCGCGCGTGCAGAGCAACAGCGCGGAGCAGGTAGGGTAGAGCGCACGAGGGCGCGGGCAACCGCGCGTGCAGAGCAACAGCGCGGAGCAGGTAGGGTAGAGC